CGGGGTCGCCGGGGCGGGCTCTGCGGGCGCCGGGCACGCTGCGCTTGATGGCAGCTACAAGGGATGCTGCGCACCCCTTACAGCTGCCATCAGGCACCCCCCCATCAGTTGGCGCCCCGGGCAGCTGCCTGACTCGCCCACCTCTTAGTCTGGCCCTGCTTGTAGCCAGTGGAGTTCATTAGTAGGAGCATTGCTAGCCAATCTAGGGAAGTTATTATTCCCCTCTATTCAGCACTGGTGAGGCCACATATGGAGTATTGCATCCAATTCTGGGACCATTACAGAAGGGACGAGGACACATTAGAGAAACCCCAGTGGAAGGCATCAAAAACTATTAGGGGGCTGGAACACATGATCTTTGAGGAGAGGCTGAGGGATTTGGGCTTAGTCAGTCTACAGAAGAGAAGATCGAAGGGGGAGGGAGGTTCCAAAGAGGATAGCGAGAGGCTGTTCTCAGTGGTGACAGATGACAGAACAAGGAGCAATGGTCTCAAGTTGCTAGTGGGGGAGGTCTAGGTTGGATATTAGAAAAAATTATTGCGCTAAGAACATAAGAACGGCCGTACTGGGTCAGACCAAAGGTCCATCTACCCAGTATCCTGTCTACCGACAGTGGCCAGCACCAGGTGCCCCAGGGAGGGTGGACCGAAGACAATGATCAAGCGATTCGTCTCCTGCCATCCCCCTCCAGCCTCTGACAAACAGAGGCCAAGGACACCATTTTATCCCCTGGCTAATAGCCTTTTATGGACCTAACCTCCATGAAATTATCTAGCTTCTCTTTAAACTCTATTATAGTCCTAGCCTTCACAGCCTCCTCTGGCAAGGAGTTCCACAGGTTGACTACACGCTGTGTGAAGAAGAACTTTCTTTTATTAGTTTTAAACCTGCTACCCATTAATTTCATTTGGTGTCCTCTAGTTCTTCTATTATGGGAACTAATAAATAACTTTTCTTTATCAGCCCTCTCCACACCACTCATGATTTTATAGACCTCTATCATATCCCCCCTCAGTCTCCTTTTTTCTAAACTGAAAAGTCCCAGTCTCTTTAGCCTCTCCTCATATGGGACCCGTTCCAAATCCCTAATCATTTTAGTTGCCCTTTTCTGAACCCTTTCCAAGGCCAAAATATCTTTTTTGAGGTGAGGAGACCACATCTGTACACAGTATTCAAGATGTGGGCGTACCATAGTTTTATACAGGGGCAGTAAGATATTCTGGGTCTTATTTTCTATCCCTTTCCTAATAATTCCTAGCATCCTATTTGCCTTTTTGACCGCCGCTGCACACTGTGTGGAAGTTTTCAGAGAACTGTCCACGATAACTCCAAGATCTCTTTCCTGATTTGTCGTAGCCAAATTAGCCCCCATCATACTGTACGTATAGTTGGGGTTATTTTTCCCGATGTGCATTACTTTACACTTATCCACATTAAATTTCATTTGCCATTAGGAAGGTGGTGAAGCACCTGACTGTGATGATTTAGTTGGTGTTGGTCCTACTTTTAGCAGGGGTGTGGACTCTGTGACATCCCAGGATTTCTTCTAACCTTATGAGTCTATGATTCCATCAAGGGCTATTTGCTCAGATGATCAGGGATGCAACCATGTGTATAGGTTGCTCAATGGGTGCTATTGGACAAGAGCACCCTCTGGCAGCCAAGTTTCCCCTCTGACCCTGTCACATCAGCCCACCTTATTGCCAGCACCCTACTGACCACCTTCTCCCTCTTCCAGTACCTCCCACCTGCTGCAAAACAGGAGGGATCGTTGAACCAGCCCCCAGCTAGAGGGGAAGTCAGAGCCATGATCCTGTGTTCTGCATGGTCACTGGATTGCCTGTTCTGTTCATTCCCTCTTAAGCACCCTGCATTGGTCTCTGTTAGAAAAAAGATTACTGGGATAGATTGATTTAACCTATTATGGCCATTCTTATATTAACACATACCATGATTAAATACAAAAGTGAAAGTAGTTCTGCAGACAGGCAGGGAAGAAACCAAACAGTGATGGGAATTGATCAGTCAAAAGTTAAAAAACCACCAACCCAAATAACCACTTCCTAAATGTCTAGGACAGAACTGTAATACAGCTGTTGCATGCAATATAAAATCAAGTTGTAAAACAATAGTTAATCCATTACTGCCTATTCTATAGATAACTAATAGTATCTACAGGAACACAAAGACAACAGAAAAAGAAGTTGTAGTGAAGAGAATAAAATTGAAGAGTCCTGGTTCCAAGTCCTCTGTCTAATTGAATTATGTGAGATTTCCTTAGTTTCAGCTGGTCATTCTGTCTCACCAACAGTGTTTGGGTTTTTTAAACTATACCAAAGTACGCTATATGCACAGCCAGTCACAGACACTTCAGCTGGTTAATAGGCTAGCTCCTTTCCAAGTAGCTCAGATTACAAACCCTTTAAGAATATACTGTACACATTTAGAAAGTTAAAGACCTGAGAAGGACAACAAAGATACTTTGAAAGCTGGTTACAGATCATTTTAGTTATTTGGACGAAGTATCATGATAGGAGAGTCAATTGAACCTCTCTTACCTTTTTGTTGTAAAATGTTCACCTGGGAAATGGACATGAAGCTGTTTTGGATCTTAATGGAGATCCCTTATGGCCTACTTTCCGGACTACTATAATGTGAATTGCATACTTCATTTCTTAAGTAAGATATTTGAAAACATCCTTTATTTTTACTCCTGATTTCAGTGTCAAAGCAGCATACTGTTATTATTTGTAGTTTGTTCAGTGATTGTTTTGTCAACCTGTGATGAATGTAGTGTTTTGTTACTAGTCATATCTTTGTAATCTGACATCCTTTGTATATCCTCTTCATGAAATGTGGATTAATGCTTATTAAAACAGACACTAAGAAACTGACAGAATCAATGTGTTCTTAAGTTAGTTAAGTAGTATGCTTAAACCCAAAAGCATACTACTAATATGATTTACTGGCGTGAGCACATATTGTATGCAGTGTTCTAGACATATTGGTCTCTGGATATTAAAGAGATAAAGTAGGTGAAATATGAAAGAAAGGGAAAGAAAGAAAAGCTCTGTGTAAGCTCGAAAGCTCTTCTCTCGCCTACAGAAGTTGGTCCAATAAAAGGTATATTACCTCAGCTACCATGTCTAGTAAGTGAACATGTATTATTATTAATTTTGGTCCTGGACATCCAACACTCTGGTCATCTGAAGAAGTGGGCTGTGCCCTTGAAAGCTCATGATACCATCTACATGTTTTGTTAGTATTTAAATTGCTACCAGACTATTTGTTGTTTTTTAAGTTTATCCTGTACAGACTAACTTGATTACCCTCCTGAAGCTTATGCATTATTCGTATTATAGTAGAGCCAAAAGCATACTAGGCACTGTGTAGAAAAATGAGGGGGTTGTCAGTGGCAAATTTCAGGGTAACTGAACCTATAGTTCCACTCCATGGTTTCTTGAGGACACCCACTTACTGGTTTCCAGCTTCTACACATTATCTCCCTGGGCCAGAGATGCATGTCTCATTCCCTTCTGAGTAAGGTTTTTCTAGGCTGCATGGTTCCGTTACTAATCTGATATCTCTAGCAAGCCAGGCTGCCTAAATAGGCCAGCACCTGTCCTTTGCTTTTTCTCCAGAGGCTCTTCCCATTTATTGCTCGCAGTTAATTAATTACCACACAACTCTTTCTGAGCAAGCACATTAAGGCCTACAAATTGGGAAGTGGAAAGGGGCAATTTCACAGGGGCATGGGCAATTTAAAAGGGCCCCAGAGGCCACAGCTGCTGCTGCTGCTACAGTAGCTCTGGGGAAAGTGAAAACGTTTCTGGATTCAAAGATGCTTTTGATATCCCATGCAGGTTTGGAACTGGGTTATTGGGCCCTGGAACCTGCATAGGGCGTATCAAAAGCAATTTTGAATCAGGAGACTCTGCTGCAGTTATTCTCCATCAAGTCAGGGAAAGGAGGGGAGGTGTAGTGCAGCTGCCCTGGGAATCATCCAAGCAAGTGGAGGATAGGGATGCTAACTTGCATTTAATCAACTAATTGACTAGTTGATGAGTTGATAAGGGGGGGGGGACTGCAGATTTGCAGTGGGGTTAGCTTCTGGCCCTCGGAGCTAACCCTACTGCAGCTCTGCCTTTCTGCCTGGTCCCTGCTGTGCCTCTATCTCTGGGGAGGGCAGGGGAAGCAGTGCTGGAGGGAATTGACTTTTAAGCCAGCTCCCACCCAGTCCTGCCTTCTGCTTTCTATTAGAAGCCGCAACAGAAGGGGAAGCAACTAGTCGAGTCACTATCTGATGATTTTATGCTTATCAGATAGTTGACTAGTCGTTTACATCCCAAGTTGGGGACAAGCTTCTTGTGGGTTGTAGAGTGTGGCTTGGGGCTTTTCCATGCATGGAGGATTGTAGCCCTAGCTGAGGAAGGGGCCCTTTGATGAAGCCTGAATTGCTCTCAGTGGTCCTGAGCATGCATTCTTGAGGTCAAAACAGTACAGCAAAAACTTTAAAAACAAAAGAACCTATGTGCTTGCTTACATAGCTTACTGGAGACCAGCCCCAACTGCATGCTGTGGTAGTAGCAATTCTTCAGTATCAGCAATGGGGTTTTCCCCTTGGTTACAAGTTGATGATTGTTTTCAGATTCAGAACTAGGACCTAGTCTGGGCAGTTCAGCTGTTTCTTTTTACAGTTCAGGCCTTTAAACTCCTATCTCTGGAAACAGAGGAAATCAGATTAACCTTTTGTGGGCCTGTCATGTCAGCTGAACCTGAGTACAGAGTTTACAGACTAACAGGCCCCAGAGCATCCCTTCCTCTGAGGGTGGGCCCAGTGCCCCGTCAGCCTCCTTTGTCCTATTCCCCCCAGACCAGCTATGCACAGTGCTTCCCTGCTCAAATAACCCAAACCACAGCTGTATAGTTCTCTGCACACTCCCATCCCTGCTCATCATCATTTCCCAAGTGCTGCTCCACAGCCTAGGTTGCCCATTGTTGACCTATAGTCCCACTTCCTTGCACCCAATCATGTTCACTAGCCCTGCTGGGAGGTGACTGGGTCAGTTGGGCTGAGCTGGCAGTGAGGCTGTGACCGTGATGACTATCTCTCCAGCTGCTCGGGAACAATGTGACCAGCCAGGATAGCGAGGAGTAGGGCCTGCCCAGATCGGGTTCCCTCCAGACCCACTTGGTATCCCCACCCACCACCACCACTTTTTGTGACTAACCAACACCTGCACCGGTCCCAGATGGTATGGCCCAGAGAGGTGGATGGTGTTCCACAGCTGATGGATAGCACAGACCTCACTCAGAGTTGGTGGTGTGCTGGGGAGCTGAGCCAGACCCCTGGAATGTGACTCTTAAGATCATCCCAGATGTGCCCATCAGGCAGCAGTCCATCTCAGCCCACATAGCCCAAGAAGCTCACCTGTTGGTTGTTGGCAAGCTTACTACAGGCAAAAGGAATCTTCTGGCTTCAATCTATTCTCACAGCTTAGACACTGGACTTTCCCTGGAAATGGGCCAAACCCAGCCATGTGGTTGGATTACTCCATGTGGTTCTGGTGCCAGTGGTGTCATTGTAAACTCATTATGGTCTGGGAACAGGTAATCAGCAAAGACCCATTTTCAGACATATCTTCAAAAGGCTTGGTTTCTACATAATGAGAGGGGTACAATTTGTATTAATCTCTCTAGGTATTTTGTAGAAAATTCACTTCATGCTTATCTCAAAAGTCAATTTTTGTCTGGCATGTTTTCAGTATAGCCCTTAATTCTCAGGCCTCATCTTATTTTTATTACATCTCCTCCAAGAGATTACAATACATACATTTTGCATTTAGTACAGTGGATCTCAAAGGTACTTGATTTGAATAAGGGCTCCCAGCAATCTGTCATGTGGGGGGCAATATTGCTGGTCAGGGAGGAAATTTGTCATATCTGTCTGAATCCTTGATGCTGCTCACCTCTCCCACCCCAGAAAACCTCCACATTTATGTAACCTTTTGTTATTGTTTGTGTTGCATTAAATGCCTCTGTTTGTTTGTTTATTATTCTCCTTGTTTTGCTCAGGAAAATGTTCCTGCACATCTTGCAACCTCTCCAATACCCACTGAGGATCAGTTCTTTAAAGAAATTGAAGATTGCTTACTGAAGTCAGGTGAAAATCAAAGGACATATCAGAACTCTGAAGTTACTCATGCCATAGAAACAGAGACTGTATTCACCTCAGGGTCTGTAAAGAAGAAAAAGCGAAGAAGAAAGAAATACAAACAAGATAGCAAGAAGGAAGATCAAATCTCTTCTTCAGGGGTTGAGGAGATACTTGAAATAGAAAAAAGCTCTGATGATGAGAGAGGTGTTCAACATCTGAGGTGAACTATTAAATACACACCAAATGCTGTATTGTGGTGGTATTAAAGCTTCATACTGTGGCTTGTGTACTAACCCTTTCTCTTATTTAAGGTACCCTTGAGTAACAGTAGGGTTCAATAAATTATTGAATGTGTAAGTCCAAGAGCTTTTTCCTCAGAAATACAAAGAAATTATATTTGTAATTTTGACTTCTTCCAGAACTCTTAAGAATCTTTCAGAATTGGGCAGTCAGAGCAAATGCCAAATCTTGTTTAACCTAGTGTTTTCCATCAGGATTATCACTTATGTCCCTAGCAATCAGTCCTGTGGAACAGTATTGCTGCTGAAACTGGCAGCATGCTGCAGAGCACATTTATATAATATCACTTTCTAGAACACTAAAATGTGGTCCTGACATGAAGATTTAGATACGTATGGATGTACTAGTTGTACTAGCTGCCATCTTTCAAGTCTCCCTTTTTAGCGTATCAGAATCTGACTTTGTGTAATGCATCTTTAGCTATGAGGCAGCTGTGTTTTTCCTATAAGAAGTATATCTGAAAAAGTATAGTTAAAGTAAGTAAGTGTTATGTAAGATACTGCCACAGCAAAGTGTGCTATGCAAGTGTCTCAATCCCTCATTTCTGACTGAAGCCATGCTGCTCGTAGTATACCTAAATTCCACTAGAATAAACTCACTAGTATCAAATATGTATGATCCAGTATATATTAGACTCCCCCAAAATTAACTTCAACTCAGATTTTCATTTTGAAGTGCTTGTAGATATTTTTTGATTATTTAATACAGGCAGTCCCCGGGTTACGTACAAGATAGGGACTGTAGGTTTGTTCTTAAGTTGAATCTGTATGTAAGTCGGAACTGGCGTCCAGATTCAGACACTGCTGAAACTGACCGCCAGTTCTGACTTACATACAGAATCAACTTAAGAACCCCAGGCGTCCCCAAGTCAGCTGCTGCTGAAACTGATCAGCAGCTGATTCCAGGAAGCCCGGGGCAGAGCAACTCTGCCTGGGGCTTTGTAGGTTTGTTCTTAAGTTGAATCTGTATGTAAGTCGGAACTGGCGTCCAGATTCAGACACTGCTGAAACTGACCGCCAGTTCTGACTTACATACAGAATCAACTTAAGAACCCCAGGCGTCCCCAAGTCAGCTGCTGCTGAAACTGATCAGCAGCTGATTCCAGGAAGCCCGGGGCAGAGCAACTCTGCCTGGGGCTTCCTGGCGAGAAAGCCCCGTTCGTAAGTGCGGATCCGACGTAAGTCGGATCCGCGTAAGTCGGGGACTGCCTGTATATGCAATAACATGTCACTTACTTTTGAGATATTTTCTGCAATCTGGTAGCTAAATATTTATTTAGTTTTAATTTATTTATTCTTCTTTGAAAACCATGTTCTTTCGAAATCAGTTCACCTTATCGATAATTTTAAGTTCTGCTAGTGATTAAATTTGTATCTAGTTAAAGGGATGGGGACCTATGGCCCAGCATGCGGCATGTCTTGATCCGGCCCACGAGGCTTGGGCTCTCTCTTCCCACAACAGAGCAAGCCAGAGCTGGCTTGTCCTGCTATGGAGTCCGGAATCCCAAGCGTAACAGGCTGGATCAATGCAAGTTACAGGCTGCATCGGGCCCACGGGCTCTGCCTAGCAGGGGAGAGGAAGTGGTTCTTCATTCTGATGTCATCCCCTACTCCCTCTGGCTGGGGAAATGGCAGCTCAGAGAAGCTCTGGTCATGTGCTCACATGCGGTTCTACCACAGGGGAATGGTCAGAGGCCATCTGGGGGACCACCAGCCATGCAACTCCTCCCCCAACACAGGGAAGGGTCAGGACCATTCCTCTTCACCTCTGCTCTACTCTTCCCTCTCTTGCGCTGTCCTCTCCCTGCCTCTCCTCTTCCCCCCAACCAAAGCAGCGCCGTGGACCAGCAGGGCTGGTGTCAGCGCGCGGGAACCCGCCCGGTGCCCCTGGTCTGCTGGAGACGGTCTCCAGCAGACCAGGGGCACCGGAGCAGCTTACGAACGGGGCTTTCTCGCCCCGACTTCCGGGGCGAGAAAGCTCCGTTCGTAAGTGCGGATCCGACGTAAGTCGGATCCGCGTAAGTCGGGGACTGCCTGTATATATTTGAGAGGGTCTGTCTAAGAACTCTTTCTAAATGGTGAGAGCTAGGACCACCAAATTTGGCATACAGTTTCCTCTTAAAGTTAAAACAAGGTAAGGGTTTAGGATGTACCTGGAATGGGATTGCTTAAAACCATGCAAGAGAGAGACAGAATCACCAGGAAGGTGAAAGGGGATGGCCGGGGTATGCCCTCCCACTGTTCAGGCATCCTTTAGGGAGGGCAGTAGGGCTGAAGCTCCTTCCTCCCTCCTGATTTGTATGGGCAAAATGCAGGACAATGTAGCACTTTAAAGACTAACAGGATGGTTTATTAGATGATGAGCTTTCGTGGGCCAGACCCACTTCCTCAGATCAAAAAATGGGAGCATTGCTGACTATTCCCCTTCATCAGAGAGTGAGGGAAAAGTGCACAGTTTGCTGCATTCCTCACTGTGGCTGGGGAGTGTGGGGGCAGATAAACCTGGACTTGCCCGAACTGTGGGACATGCACCCCTCCCTTGGCTGTGCCTGCTGGCGATATGGCGCCTATGAAGAGGCACTTCTCACCTGGCCCGGAAGCTGCTGTGTTGAAAGAGGGCTGGAGTAGTCCTCTCTTCCCAGAGCAGCCTGCACAGTGAATCCCTCTTCCCCAGCCCCAACCCAGAGCAATGATTTTAAAAAATTGTGTTAAGGACTGGGCAACACAGTGTAAATCTTGCAGTTGCTAAATAAAGAGAACTATCTTCTTTCTATATATTGGAATGGTAAGCTATCAGCAGCAGAATTTCAGTAGAATTCATTTTCACGTCTGAGATAAGAATGTTAAGGACTAGTTGACTATCAGATAAGCAAATGCTTATCGGATAGTCGAGTTGACTAGTCGTTTCCCCCCTCCTCTTGCTGCCTCTATCAGATAGAGGCAGCAAAGTGGAGGGAAACAGTGCCACACGGAGCCCAGGATATGGGCTCCGTGCGGCACTATCACTTTGAAATGCCGCCGCACGTTTCAAAGAGGCGATGCCACACAGCTGATCCCAGGCCCAGTGCGGCGCTGCTGCTTTGAAACACCGCCATGGCATTTCAAAGCGGCAGTACCATGTGAAGCTCAGGGTCAGCTCGCTGACCCCGGGCTCCATGTGGCATTTCCATGGAACCAGGAGTCAGCTGGGAAGTCCCCAGATGACCCCAGGCTCTGTGCAACACTGCTGCTTTGAAATGCCACGTGGAGCCAAGGATTAGCTGGGGATTCCCCTGCTTACCCAAGGCTCCATGCGACCGTTTCCGCTTTGAAATGCACAAGAGCCCCCACTGGAGACTCTTGTACATTCCAAAGCTAGCATGCCCTGTGCAGCCTGGGGCCAGCAGGACTTCCTGCTGGCCTGGGCTGCATGTGGAGTTCCAACTTTGAAATGTATATTTCAAAGGAGGAATGCAGAAGTGCTTATCAACTAGTCAATGGAAATTCCATCGACTACTTGACTAAGCAAATTAATCGATATTTAACATCCCTAGTCTGAGATACATAGACTGGAGCTGTGTATTTGCTTAAAGCCCATCAAAAAAATTAAACGTGTTTATTTTATCCTATCCTACATATTATAGGAGGGAAAAACAAGTAGTCCTGTAGCACCTTAGAGACTAACAGAAATATATATAAAATATAGTATTATGAGCTTTCATGGGCTAACCCCATTTTTGGCCATGAAAGCTTATGATGTGGGGAGGGGGGGGGGTGTGTGTGTGTGTGTGTGTGTGTGTGTGTGTGTGTGTGTGTGTGTGTGTGTGTGTGCGCGCGCGGATATATAGATATATATAAAATTATAATTTTTGTTAGGATACTTCAGGACTACTCATTGTTTTCTTCTAAGTTACAGTTTAACACGCCTGCCCCTCTGAGACTTTATATTATGGGTACAACATATGCTAGTAGCAGTTTCCTGTAGATGTCAGTTCTTTAGATCTACACTTGCAGAAATGTGTAGACATTGCATGCCAACCTGGAATGGGTATAAATAGAAGTGTAGATAGTGAGACACTGCAAGTAATTTAGAGGCATACCTGAACTCTGTGACTCTCTACACGGTCAAGCAGTGCCTCCCACATGTACACTAGGGATGTTAAAATTAGATTAATCAACTAATCGAATAGTTGATGGAATTATAATCGACTATTTGATTAGCTGATAAAGGCGCTTCCACTTTGTAATGTAGCAAGAGCCCACCCAGCTGTTGCCACATTTCACAGGTGGAAATGCCACATGGCGTTCCACCATAGAAATATACAAGAGCCCCTGCAGTGGCTCTTGTGCATTTCAAAGATTGAAACGCTGCAGGGAGCTCCTGCCCCCTCCCACGGAGCTGGGGGGAACCTGCTTTTAAGCCAGCTCCCCCAGAATCCCCTCCTACTCCCCCCTTGCTGCCTCTTTCTGATAGAGACATCAAAGGGGGGAAGTGACTAGTTGACTATCCAGTAAGCTTTTACTTATCGGATAGTTGACTAGTCAATTAGTTGCTTACATCCCTAATCTTCACTGGTGTTTTTCAGCAATGTAGTATGTAGTGAAAGACTGCAGGAAAAGTCACTAGCGATTTCCTGCTGCTAGAGCCATTTCCAACTGCTTCTACTGCTGAAGGCTTTCATTGCCATGTGTACCTACATATGCACATCCCATATACCATGCAAATTTAAGCAAGGACATTGATCGTTTAACAGCAGGAAAGGAATTTGTTTCCTGGGTGAAGCTAGTTCATTACTAAGCAGTGAAATAGCTGTATTCAATATTTTGACTGTTTGTTAGAGACCTGTTCTAGTTCATTGTTGTCATTGAAAGAATGATAAATATCCAGTCTGAAAAACTAGGGGCCATAAGTATTGTTCATTGAAGCAGAGCTGGTAGTTGGTTCTGAGTAGGAGGAAGCTCAGGATTAGGGATGTTAGAAGTCAATATATTTCAAATGTAACTGCTACATTTCTTAGAGGTTATATGATTACTTGGTACCACCCCCTCACCTCTCTCCACCCCCCCCCCCAACAGCCAGTGCTCCAAGTCCCACTCCTGGGGAGCCCCTTGCCACTCCACATTGCTGTTTCTGTAAATAGACTTTTCTTTCCTTTTTTTCCCCTTTGAATTAGGTTAAAATACATTAAACATACTAAAGTTCAATAAAAAAAAAGTGAACACATAAAATAGACAAATCAGATTTTAGTACAGAGGGGGAATGAGGGGAGGAGGTTAATGTCTGAGAGAATGATATTAGAGGTGATAATTGGGGAAGCTATCTTTGTAATGGATAAGATAATTAGTATCTTTGTTTAAGGTCCATTCGTAAAGTGTCAAATTTAAGCATGAATGACAGTTCAGAGGCTTTTCTGTGAAGTCTTGTGTTAAAATCTCTTTGAAGCAGGATGCAGGTAGTCAGATCATTGAGACAATGCCCATTCTGGTTGAAATGGCAAGAAACTGTTTTTTTTGTGAAACTGTATGATGTCTGTTTTGTGTGCATTAATTCTTTGGAGAAGTATCTGAGAAGTTTTTCCAATATACATAGCAGACGGACACTGTTGGCATATGATGGCATAAATATAATTTATATAATGTATTTATATAAATTATGCTCATCTTCCCCCCCCCCCCATTCTAAAATCTGATTTGTCTATTTTATGTGTGTTCACTTTTTTTTTTGATTGTATCCCTTTGGTATGTATGGTCATGCCAATTTTCTTCCACAATGTGATCTGAGAAAGTGGGTCTGGCCCACGAAAGCTCATCACCTAATAAACCATCTTGTTAGTCTTTAAAGTGCTGCATGGTCCTGTCTTTTGTTTCAGCAAGACCAGACTAACACGGTTACATCTCCATTACTATTTATCTTTGGGCATACTGTGCTTTTGATTGTTTTGTGTGGCTCCAAACTAGGGTGTTATGCTGTAACAACCAAAAGATTTTCATTTCTTTGACTGAGCATATTTGCATGCAGTAAATTGAAACATTGGTTTAAAAACATTTTGTATATAACGATTTGGTAGGTAAAATTGTTTAATCTGTGTTAAAATGTAATATATTTACTTAAGACATAATATGAAATGGATGGGGGAAGGAAAGAGATGGCAGCTGAGAAATACAGGACAATAGATAACTGAGGGCGGTGCCGTTAGGACATGATCAAGGGCTGAAATCACTGCATGACAAGCTTGTGGAGGATGACATCACTTAGGGTAGGCCTAGACTACAGGGTTTTTTGGTTTTTGGGGAAGAAAAAAGTGGCCTTTCGAAAAAACTTCACCTGCGTCTAGTCTGCTGCCATGTTCTTTCGAAATTAAATCGAAAGAACACCACAGTTTTTTCGACTACGGAAGCCCTCATTTTTTGAAGAATAACACCTTTTTTTGAAAGTGGCTTTTTTGTTGTTGTTGTTGTTTAAAGAGAGCATCCAGACTGCCTGGGTGCTCTCTTTCGAAAAAGCAGCTCTCTTTTTTCAAACATACTGGTTGCTGTCTAGATGATATCTTTTGAAAGAGGCTTCTAGTCTAGTCTAGACGTAGCCAGAGTGTATTTTTGAGATCTTCGATTAAAACCAAATCATTTAGCTAAATATGTGTTGGGGGACATTTTTTAAATTTACTAGGATGTTTTTTAAAGAGCATTAAAGATGGCAACATAGAAATGAATAAGAAGGCTTTGTAGACAAGAAAGCAACATTGCAGATGATGAACGATTGCTCTTTCTTGAGTTATCTCTCAACTATCATTTTCTTCCTTTCTCTTTTTGACTTTAGATTTCTGGTACATAAATAATTTAATTATTCTAGGTAAATTGTCAGTGGAGAGCTGTTGTTGACTCACTTAAAGCAAAAATGTGTTGTTGTTTTTTTTCTCTCCACAGAGGATCCTCAAATTCTTCACCAAAGAGTGAAGAGCAGAAAGAGTCTGTGATTTATCACTCCAAGGATCATTACCCTTTATCTGATGGAGACTGGTCCCCTTCGGAGAAGTAGGTAATTTTTGTGGTGTCATCTTTCTGTATGATTTTGTACTCTTATATTGTAGAATAATGCACCACCTCCATAACTTCTGTCCTATGTAACTACCTAAATCCTCCAAACTGTTTTGCTTCTCCCTCTCCTCTGCTTCTACGCATCTCAGCTGTAGGAAGAACTCCATCTCATCCTTAGAGGTCTGCCTGCCCTAAGGACACTCCCACCCTGAAGGTAGCGATAGGGAAGAGGCATGGCCTCTACCTTCTTCTCCTGCCCCCACTTACTTCCTTCAGACCTCACAGGGACATTCTTCTGTCCCCTTTTCTCATGGGACAAGATCTCGCACGGATCTGAGGCTGTTTTCACCTTCCTGTGTCACTTAAGGAGAGTTGGCTGCTCCGGGGCTATTCTGCTCAACTGTAAATGCATGCACTGGGCTGCTTTCCTGCCCTACTCTAGCCTAGCTATCTAGTTGTCCTGAAAGCTAGAAAAAACAAAACTGGTTTGGACTCTGGCTGTGCAAGCTTAACCTTCTGCATGCCTTTTCCCCTTCAGGCAGCAAAAGGGGAGAAAAAAGTCCCAGAACTTCCAAATGAAAAAATAGGGAAAAAAAGCATCCTTTTAAAATCCCGAAGCCTCTGTTCCTGGTTCAAAATGATCCCATCAGTGCTGCCACCATGTCAAGGATGTACCCTGGTCTGGCACACTGAGTGCAGAAGGTGGGAGCCTGCAAGAGACCTTAAATACCTTTCCACTATAGGCTTCTGCTTACAAAAACTCCCCAAGGTCACAGATTTCTTGCCCTTAGAGAGGTAGCTGCCACCATGAAGTGTAAAACCCCTTCTTCTAGGACTCAGGAAGAAGCCATTGAATTTCTTCCAAAGGGGTACCCCCCCAAGCGCTTTTACCACAAGAGAGCTTGAGAAAAAACAGAAAACAAACTGCAGTCTCTGATAGCTGACCTCTTAGTCTTAAGCACACATACACAGACCCCCTGCTACTTTCCAGGACACAAGACTCAAATCATAGCCTTAAGGTAATTTTTTATTAACAAAACCAAAAGGTATACTTAATAAAGCATACTTGGTTGCTAGGTGTTACAGAGCAACTGAGTGAAAACAAAGTAAAACACAGAGAAACATAATATCTCTGGGTGCAATTTAGATATAGTGAATTTGGAGGTGGGGGGGCGGCACATGGACTTAGCATAGAAAAGTTTAACCAACAACAAAACAAAGAAAAATACCCTGATCGTGACTAAATATACATTTCTCTATCTATATACATTTCATGATCCATACTGATCCATACTTCCAGGTCAGGTCCATTTCTATGCCCAGTATTCCTTGTTGCATGGTAACTGTGCCTGATTTAATTAATCTTGCTTCCCCCCCAGCTTTTGGCTTAAAACTCACACACAAAATCAGCAGGCAGGTATATCTTTTCAATTTAAGTTTCAACAATCTTTCCCATTGACTTTCCTGACTTCCTGCCAACACCCCCAGCTACTTGAATTTAACCTTTGGGTACGTCTAGACTACATGGCTCCATCGACGGAGCCTTGTAAAATAGTTTACTCGGCATAGTCAAAGAAGCAGGGATTTAAATAATCCCCGCTTCATTAAAATAAAAATGACTGCCATGCTGTGCCGACGATCAGCTGATCCGGCATAGCGCGGCAGTCTAGATGCGGCGCGGTCGACAAGGGAAGCCTTTGTCGACCGCTCCAGTATGCCTTGTAAAACGAGGTTTACTAGACTGCCGCGCTGTGCCGGATCAGCTGATTGTCGGCACAGGGCAGCGGTCATTTTTATTTGAATGAAGCGGGAAATATTTAAATCCCTGCTTCTTTGACTATGCCGAGTAAACTATTTTACATGGCTCTGTTTACAGAGCCATGTAGTCTAGAAGTACCCTTTTAGTCCTCGGGTGCTGGTCAGCACTTCTCCTATCCATCACAGGAAGTATTTGGCTTTTATTGCTATATTATCTGTGCTGCTTTAAAAAAAAAAAAAAAAAAAAAAAACCTGAATTTATCCTCACAACATGTTTTCCTCAGTTTACAGTTGTAGAACAGACTAGTTGTAGAGACAGACTAATTAACTTACAAAAGATCACACAGCCGTCTGGGGTAAAGCCTGTGGTCTGAATGTTTTCTCTTTCCTAGTCCAGTTCCTTAACCATAAAATCATGCTTCCTCCCTAATGCATGAAACCCTCTACCCATGTTGGATGTGAGATCAATTTTGGTGGCTGAGGGGTCCTTTAGTTGTTGAGAAGTGACTGGCTGGTGGAAAAAGAGAGAAGGAAGACTTGCCTTCTACTCTTTTCCTTATAAAACCATTAGCAGGAACTTTGAGCTTTTCAAGTGTTAAAGTATACAGTCAAGAGGTGCAAGCCTCCAGCTTCTTTCAGTTACTTATAGTGCAAACTGTGCATGTAATGAGAGTGGCCCTTTCTTTACTGGGTCTGCTGGCTCAGTTTTGTGTGCAGAAAACAAGGTAGAGCTTTCACCAATATATCATCAGTATCTGCTTTAAAAAAAAGAAGAAGAAGAGTAGACGGGCTATCATGGAGGCAGGGAAATATATTGATACATACAATCAGTACTCTTTGATTTTTACTTTCTTCATTATGCCAAGATCCATAAATCTGTTATAAGGCATACTTTAGTCCACTTGTGGTTTGGAGGCAAAATAACTCTACCCATTGACATTCCCTTCTGTTTTATATGCCCTTATAGTAACAAGGCAAACCTAGAGGAACTATTTATTTAAAGTCTGGACCCCCATCAAATGCCTTAGAAAGACATACAGATCATTTGGCAAGTTAAAACAGTACTTGAAGTATAACAGAAGAATCTTTTTTCAAATAATTAACACAAATGCATATTTCTGAGGCAAGATCAGTAGCTGCCCCCATTGCTAAATGCACGTTTTCCAACCAGACCTGTCTGAAGTTAGATTAACTCTCCTCCCTTCTCCCCATGCCATGCGTTTCAACAATTCAGGCATATTCAAGAAAATAATTTTGTACATATCAAGACTAAATGCTACCTTCAAACAACAATCCTTATTCCAGCCCCACAAGATCTTTATGCTATTTAGAACAGTACTCCAGTCTGTATTTTAGGAAAGTATTAATTGAATTATCCTGTCTGTCAAAGTTGTCTCAATTGAAGGCAACTTCAAGGGACAGGGCATTTCTAGGGTTGCCAGGTGCCTGATTTTTAATGGGACCTGGCAGTGTCCAGTTACTGTGTGTTGGGAGGGGAAGAGGAGGAAGTGAGACAGAAGGGGCCCAGTTTTAAAAAAATTAGAAGGCATTCTCCTATTTTCAGTGATTTCGTTCCATCTTCAAGCAGGCTGAAATACCATTGTAATGTATCTAGACCTTATTATTCTAAGGAAATATTCAAGTAAATTCAGTTTTTTTCCCCCTGATTTGATCATATGCTCTACTTATTTTGCCCTCCCTCAGCTCTGATGAGGGTGTGAGGTATTGCTGCATGCTGTTGTATATTGGAATGTAACTGTTACATCCATTTAACTTAGCTTGCAACAATAATAGGACGTCAGTAAATGGATGAAATTTTTCAGGCCTTGCAAACTAGACTGCTATCTCTTTTCTGGAACACAGGAATTTAAAACAGACTATCCTAAATTAACAGTAGGAATTACATCAGTCTTGTGATGGCCGCTAAATCTAACGTTAAAAAAGAGAGAGAGAAAATTGTGGGGGTATTATCTGAGAGCACTTAAAAACAATGAATGAATCTATTTAGAGTGGTCAGTATGTAAGCCTCTTTTAATGTGATTTCAGTTTTAACCTAATTTCTCTGTCTGTAAACCCAACTGGGCTTCTTGCCCTGTTGCTGAATATTTGAAGCTCTAGTAAACCATAGAAAACAAACAAAAGTAGCTGCATAAGAAATGCATTTTAAATACTGTAGCTTTCTGTGTTTATTCTGATAGTCCTTTCTCAGATCCAGTCTGCCCTAAAAGTGATTCAGAACTAGAAGTGAAACCGGCAGAGAGCTTGCTTAGAGCTGAATCTCATATGGAGTGGACATGGGGAGGATTCCCAGAGTCTACTAAGGTAAAGTTATCTACAGATTAGTTTTAAATACTGTCTGGGACTTTTAATGTACTGAATTTTGTCTGTCTTAAAATCGTATATTTTGCATTAGACTATTGAGAAAAAATGAGCAATTGTGAGAGATTCAAGAGAAATAACATGAAAAGAGTGCCCTCTTGTGGCTGGCTAAGATGAAGGCTTTTTATTGATATCAAAAGCAGAGCTACACAATTCTTCCAGGATGATATTCAAATTAAAAATCTGCACTCTCTAATATGCTGCTAGAAACAGAAGATAATTTTTAAATGATGCATTAGATGCAATAAGAATGATCGAGTCCATTAAGCTTTTTGTAAAAGATAGGACCAGGCTCACTCTAAGACAGTGGTCTCCAACCTTTTTACACTGAAGATCACTTTTTAAATCTCAGAACAGGCAAAGATCTACCACCCCACCCCTTCCTTGAAGCCCCGCCCTCTCTATTCTCCTCCTGTCCATCACTTGCTATCCCGAGCCCTTACTTACACACTCTGATAAACAGTTTATTTTTAAATTATGCAATATATAAAATTAAAATCACGTGTTTATAGTTATGAAATAAATGGTCTGTTTTTTATTCATGCTATTTAAATCTAATATAATTATAAATGCTTCATTTATTTTGTGGGGATAGAGTTCTGCGGCTGGGGGCAGGGGAGAGGGAACAGGGTGATGGGAGGGCAGAGGACAGGGTTCTGCAGCAGGGGACAGGGTGCCAGTGGGGACAGAGTTCAGGGAGTGGGGACGGGAATGGGGACAGAGTTCTGTAGCTGGGGACAGGGAGTGAGGACAGAGTTCGGGGAGTGGGGACGGGAATGGGGACAGAGTCTGTAGTTGCGGACAGGGGAGTAGGGACAGAGTTCTGTAGCTGGGGTCTGAGGAGAGGGGAGTGGGGACAGGGTTCCAGTGGCAGCAGAGAGTCCCCTGCATCTGCCTCCTCTCCCTTCCCTCCCCTCCCCCCCGAGCGAAGCAGGGAAACCCTGCGCGTACCTGCTCTGGGGCCAAACCCCCCTTCCACAGCCCAGCCCAACCCAACCCATCCCCCCTTTCCCCTCTCCTCCCACAGCATGGCCAACCCCCGCGGGCACCTGCCCTGTGGCCAAACCCCCCTCCCATGGCACGGCATGGCCAACCCCTCCCGCAGCATGGCCAACCCCCGCGTGTGCCTACCCCAAGGCCAAACCCCTCTCCCGTGTCGCGGCCCGGCCCAGCCAACTCTCTCCCCTCCCACAGCACGGCCAAACCAAAAAAGTGTCTGAAAACTGTAGGTACTGGGGGTACTTATAATTTTTTTTGAAAAAGGGATACTTTATTAAAAAAAGGTTGAGAAACACTGCCCTAGGCAGCCCCCTTTTTAACTGCTCCTTGCCCTCCCTTGGTTAAAAGTGTGGCACAAATCCCCTGTTGTTCAAACTGAGGTGGGGAAGTATAATGTAACACCTTCTCTACACCTGAGAAAGATGATGAAATTTAGGCCCTACACCCATAGACAGGTCTGTGAGAGTAGACTGCTATAGTGATGCAGAGCCTCATTGATGTTCACTGGGCTGTTCATACAGTAGTGCTTTTGGGAAAAGGCTGTACATTAATATTACTTTTAAAAATTGAGTTGTTATTGAGAGGAGGCATTTTGACTACAAACAGTGATCTATCATCAACAATTACGAAGTTTAGTAACAGTTTGAATGTGTCAAAAATTTGCCTAGATTTGTCACTTCCTCAGAAGTGACCTGGCTACTTTAAAAATGGGGAGATGGAAAACTGTTTTTAATGAAGTCTGTTTTAATATAGTATCATTGTCAAGGCTGTTCCACACTATGGCTTGACAAATGCAGAAGTGGGGGCCCGCGAAAGCACCCCCCATCCTGAGATCTACAGGCTTTGGTACAAAAACTTCCCCTCAAAATCCCAATACCTGGATTTTGGGGAATATCTGCTGCCACCATCAAGTGCTTTTAAACCCACAACCAGGGGTGGACCCTTGAAACCAACTCCAGGGGTACTCCAAGCTCTTTTCCCCCAAAGAGCTTAAAAAACAGAAAAAGAAGCTGTAGTCTGTGGTCGCTGCCCCCTAGTGAGAGGCATGCAGATAACCACAGACAGATTTTCCAGGACACAAAAATGAACCAATACCAGGTTAATTAGAAAAAGAAAACAAACTTTTATTATCAAAACAATACTACCGTTGCAAGCGTAGTTGAGGTGGCTAGATGTTAAGAGCCACCAATTGATATACTCATGGGGGACCGGCCCATGGGCTCAAAACTTAGGTACAAAGGAGAGGGGAAAAAACACTTTTAACAGCACAGACATCAGTTCTGAATCCCCAACCCATGAAAACAATAAAACCTGTCATGCTAACTACTTTGCCCTACTTACACATTATAAGAGGTCTTTTCTTTGAGAGAGACAGGCCTTCCCATCTCCCTGTTACTTGGAAGAAACCACTCTGACTCTGGCAAAGGAAGGAAAAGATGAAAAATTCCTTTGTCCCAGTTTGAAATCCCTATCTGCATTACTAATGGCTGGCCAGATACCTGGCTAGGGGCAGGAGACATAGTTGTCCCCTTAGTCTTCAGGCTGCTGGTCAGCCCACCTGGTTATGACAGTCATCAGTTCAGGTTGTGCATACAGGGAGATTGAATGTTTCCCTGTTACTGTATGCTAAACTATGCCTTAACTGGGCTATTTTTGTTAGCATCGCAGTGTGATAGGTACTTTTTAAAGAGAAAAAGGCCCATTTCCTGGCCCGAGTTCACAATCTAAATTAAATAAGTAGAGGGCAGGAGAAGTGATCTAACCTATGACAAGTATGCCCATCTTTTCAAGCTTGTCAGTCAGGAAGATTCCTATAGGCATCATGGTAGAGATTGTCCTTTAGAAAGAACTTGAATTGTGAACTCTATTTATGATCTTAAAATAGAAATATAGATAGATTTTAATACTCTGTAAAACTGGTGAACAAGTTCCTTCATGATTGACATGCCTGTGACTTTATTAATGACTGCATATACAGTTGCTAAAAGGTACATTAAAGTTTAATCCAGCAGGCTTGACTTTTTTGGTTTGAAAAGTTGTATTCCTGGCTTAATTACTATAAGCATTTGTTAGTTAATGTTCGGAGCTGAATAAAATGAATGACATATTACATGAAAATATATTAGAACAATATTTTTCTTTTCAGATAAGCAAGAAGGATAAATTGGAGCATCCTAGAACAGCTACCATTACCCCATCAGAAAAGACTCATTTTAGAGTCATCCTCAGCTCTGATGAAGTTGAAGATGATTTTTTGGTGAAAGATTCTGTCTGTACAGTACTAAAACCTGAGCCAAGAACTCACCCTCTGTTTAAGCAGACAGAGGTTAAAGTTTCTCTTGCGTCTGCAGTCACAGAACCTGTGCTGGAGATCCCTCAAGAATCATCTATATTAGATGCTGAACATCTCCCCAGCCTATTAGCAGATAGTACTTCGGAAGCAAAACCACCTTCAAAACTTGACTCTCCTTCAAAAAAGAAAGGTATTCATTTTGTATATAAAATAACTGGTTCATTTCCACAGTATTATGTAAAATTTGATGAAAAGTTGCACTTTTAATTGTGGGATTTACATATTATTAACTGATGTTTAATTTAAATAAAACCAAAAAAACCTCATTGACTATAGACCAACTAATCTGGAGAAATTCCTGTTAGATTTTTATGTGAACAATTTTCAGAGTTCAGAAAACTGTGTGTCTCACAACACTGTATTTAATACATGTTTTAATCCAAAACAAACTATTTGTTATGGCAATCAACAGGGATGCAGAAGCGAAGCCAACACCAGGGGCCTCATGATATTTACTTGGATGACTTGAAGGCTTTGGAACCTGAAGTTGCGGCACTCTACTTTCCCAAAAGGTAGCTTGGGTTTAGTGTTCTAATATGGCAAGGCTTATATTGCAAAATAATTCATCTGTTAGGTTTAGGAGTGGATGAGGTAAACAATGGACCCAATCCTTGTTCAAAATTCAAGTCCATCTTTGAGCTTTTAGAGTAAATAATATGATCTATCCGTGTTGAACTTGTTCTGTACACTTCTCTGCTGCTGGTTTTGGCAAGAAGGCGAGACAATGAAATATGATATGAAATGCTACTATTGTGGTATTTCCATCCCAACTGAAATGGGAAAGTTTAAACTTTATAGCTATTTTGGGAAGCAGTATTATTCCCAGTAATTTATCCTAGTGATCATGTGTTTTACCTTTTAACTAGCATCACTGTTTTCATGGAATGAAATGTGTGTCCTTAGTGTTATGTAAACGTGAGGGATTTTTGTTAGAAAACATATATAACTGAGTTAAAGCCCTTTTTCCTATTTATGTAGTTAAAATGCTTTAACTCCTAAAATAGTCTCCAGTATGTCTTTCAAGAAGACCTTTAAAAAGAAACATCTAAATTCTACAAACTTTACAAATGGCCATAAAGCATCCAATATATCTGCTTAATTTCAGAGAGAATCAGTAGCAGTAGAAAAGGTGAAATATGATACATCTAACAGTTTTAGTTATTCCTCTCTCTCACTGAATTCAACTGTCAGCTTTAGGGCTGTATCATATGTGATCAGAGATACTTAACACCATAGCTGGGGAACCTAAGGCCCAGGGCTTGATATGGCCCCTGGCTTGCCTGGATCCAGCCCTCAAGGCTCAGGACTTCCCCTCCTCCCCCCCCAACATTGGGGACCCCACACTGGCACTCCAGCCCCCCTGCTGCCCCACCACAGGCAGCCTGTGCCCACCTAGACTTTGGTGTGTGAGGGAACTATGGGAGTGTCCTCCTTCTTTTTGAGGGCCACATCAGCTGAGGGTTGGTTTGTTTTTGCATCTCACTTGTATGTGGTTCCCAAATAATTTTTCTGTGGTTCAGTGGCCCCTGGCCCAAAAAGGTTCTCCACCCTTTGTTAACACTTATTTTGTCAGGGAAATTTAACAATTACATGTGTAAATAGTGGCATGCAGAATTGGTGGAAGAAACATGTGTACTTTAATTCCTGTTCTTTTTAATTGAGTTAAAATTGTGCCATGAGAATCCTGGAAGTTAAATGGCCCAGGACTGGGGATTTTCTTTATCAAGTCTGCAAGTTATCAGTCAGAGGTTCATGGAATTGACACCACCATCTTTTTCTTCATAGCTAGATGTTGAGGGTACCACTTTCCTATGGGAACATAGGGTAATATAGAAAAGCTAATCTAGTCTATTCCCCTGTCAAAGGCAGCATTCTCTTATGTATTTTGTCTTGATGTAAGTGACTAATCGACTACCTGATAAACATATTCTTATCTGGTAGTCGAGTTACTACTCAACTAGTGGCTCTTCCCTCCCCCGCTGTCTATATTTCAAAGGCAGAGGTACAGTGGGGATAGCGAGCACAATCTTTCTCCTTATTGAGTAGTCGATGGAAATTCCATCAACTACTTCATTAGCTGATTAATTGAAATGTAACATCCCTAATTTTGTCCAGTATGATTGACTCAGTTTTCTTAGACTATAGTCCATAGTGTTAAGCCTGCAATAAAGATTAAGGAAAATCATTTTTATTAAAATAGTATTTTGTTATAGCCAAGCATGGATTATTTGTAGAGCTCTGCAAATCTGTAGATAACTGCTTTCTATCCACAGGTATCTGCATCTACAGATATGGATGCGGATATCTGCTGCTCATTTTTGTAGATACAGATACGGATGCAGTTGTATCTGTGCAAGGCTCTAATTATTTGAAGGTTTCAGGGCATCCAAAACCTTCGGATAACTAGGGGGAACAATTTAGCAGGATTTGAACTTGAACCCTAATGTGATCTCAATTTTTTTTAAAAACTGTTGGTCTGCTCCTCCTTTCCCCAATGGCTTGAAAAGTGCAAGCATGACACCTAGTCAACAAGGGACCATCTGTCCTGTTCCTCATTCTCCCTTGGGTTTTCTTTTCCTACATGATACCTCTGTAGCTGAAGTTGCTCCTGAGTTCTGTAAGAGCTCAGAACTCCTCTGTAGTTTGGGAACTGAGAGAAAAATGGGGTGAATGAGAACTGGGATTATTTAGTTAGGGTTGGTCCTGCTTTGGGAAGGGGGCTGGACTCATTGACCTCCTGAGGTCTCTTCCAGCCTTAGGATTCTCTGATTCTATAATTTAGCATTTCTTGGGAGCAGGACTGATGCTTCTCCCTCCAACTGCAGAGCTCCTTTATTTGTGGAAACAGCTAGTTTTGGAAGGAGTGAGGGAACAGGAGGAACTCCATTGAATTGGCCTTGGGAGAAACATATGTTCCGTGATGTTGATCCTTGTTCTTTTCCAAAGCTCTAAGGAACATTTTTCAGTTAATAGGGTTATAGATAAGTGAATGTACATAATCAAGGTTTTAATTTGCTTAAAATGGGAGTTAGTGAAAGAAAAGAACTCTGAGCCATAGCAGCACAACAATCATTTTATGAAGAAACAAAAATTAGTTTGTCTTTGCCTCAAGACTCTACTTTCTATAATATCACTTACAAAAACTCTGCTAACCACATGAACTGCAGTTGGGAACTCCAAAAGGACAAAACTTTTGCAGATCTGAATTCCCTTCCTATGTTAAGCAGTTGCCAGTCTTAAATTGCATCAGCCATAATCTAGGATGCCCAAATTATCTAAACTACTCCTGATTTTTCCAATGTGTTGGAGTGGCACTGAGGCCTTCATAAAATCAAAATTTAATGTTATAGCACTGGAAATACAAATGTAAACTTTTGCTAGTTCTCCCATGTCAAAAAAATACTCCCAGTATCGTAAGCTTAAAATAGTTATTTATATCTACTATACCAAAACACATCTATTTCATTGTTTGAATAGAAGTGGAGTCTAACATGGCCAACCTAAGGAAATTGCTTCAACTTGGTGAGCGGATCAACTTTATGAACTTACATGTGTGGGATTTTTTTTTAAAGCAGCATTGTTTCTCTAAACTGGATATACTCATTGAATCCAGATGGCAAGAAGATAAATTTAAAATATTTACTAATTAAACTAATAGATTTCCTTCTACTAATAGTATGCCTATTCAAGACAAGCAGGCAGATTTATCTAAAAGTAATCTACCAAGCAATGTCAGCTAATAGTGCTGAGATGAAAGGAAACATCAGCGAGTGGAAATGTCTTGCATTAACATCAGGATTCACAGAGACTCAGATTTCCTTTTTCAGAAAAGAAAATCTGGTGATTGTAGAACAAATCTTCAGTTTATAATAAAATATATTTTAAATACAAGCAGTTTTGTTTAATATCATGCTTCACATAATAGTGTGGTTGGATATAACTTAAAATACATACAAATGCATATGCAAGAGAATTACATACACAAAATATGAATTCCTTTCCTCTAGTGATTCTGATCCAAGTTCCAGACAGTGGACTGAGTCAGATACCCTCTCTGGTTCCCAGTCACCACAGTCAGTGGAAAGTGCTGCTGCAGACAGTGGCACAGAGTGCATGTCTGATTCTGCTATGGATTTGCCTGATGTCACGCTTTCTGTCTGTGGCGGTCTAAGTGAAAATGGAGAGATATCTAAAGGTATGTCAGAAGCTAAATCAAATTAAACCAGAAATGCAATTTAAGTACAACCTAATGATGTTACTTGGAGTTGTTAGTGCTCTATTTTAGAAGACTGCCTTATTGTACTCTAGATATACAAAATATTTTTAATTTTGATCTATGTAGGGAAGCATGAGAGCTGAAAACATGTTTTGTATTTTATATGCTTTGGGTAAATTAACTACCGTGGAATCCCATACACAGTATAAACTCAAATATTTGCAAAATATAGACAATGGTGCATTCATATTATGGAGGTCAGTCTAAAACTAGATAAGAATCTTCTTTTTCCTGACAGCTGTTTCTCTCCTGCCACACCATGTGAAATATCTGACTCTGTTTATTGTTGGCTTCCTCCACATTGCTTGTTTTGCCATTTCATAAAGCATTAAAACTGGTATTCCTATCCCTTTGCTTGATAGATTTTCTTTTTAATCTCTTGTGCAGCTAGAGAAAGGATGGCAAATGTAATTATCTTGAACTATCCTACTTTAAAAGTAGATATTCATCTTTCCCCTCCCAAAATGTTTTGTTGTTCTAATCTTTACAAATCACATTGGTTTTATCTAGATTTTCCTGCTTGATATTCACACACTGTAGAAAGTGAAAGTTTGCCATGCATTCTTCTTACTCTTTTCTTCTTAAATGTAACTTATTTTGTGAACATTATAAGATATTTAAATGTTAGTGTCTGTTTTATTCAATGTTCAAGTTTTGCTATAATAATCCTTCTCTCCAGCTGCCAGAGGGAGCTTAATTTTTCATGTAAAGCCCAAGATCAATACATATGTTGAATGTGTATCTTGGTGAGGTAATTTGTAGAAGGTATAAAAATCAGACTTGATTTTTTTTTAAAAAACAGCTTTTTATCATTCATTTTCATGCAAGGGGGTTCATGTACTGGAAGGAGACCTCCACTGCATTAATACTGAATTTCTGTTAAACTGCATAGTTACCATCTCAAGATGTAATCAGTATTGGGTACTACTTTGGCACTTACTAACAATAGTTAGTTGTGGGCCCATGTGTAGGTTTTGTGATTTGATCCTTACATTTTCTTTTTAAAGATAAGCGAATTAGTCTCTATTTCCCTCCTGGTACTTCCTTACTTTTCATTACTGTGGCTGGTGGAGTGCAAGTCTGGAAGACTGCAACTGAGAAAATATTAGTGGTAGCTTTTCATGTTTTTCACCTATGAAGTAAACAATTTTCAGGATCTCTTTTGTCTGAATCTAGAAAATCAGCAAAGGTAATTGAAAGTTCAACGAAAATGATGTATTAGTTTGTATACAAGTCACCTGACTTATTAAAGGCAATCTCAAAAAGAAGAAGCTAAATTGTTTGATTTAATTGACAAAGTATCCTTGTATTACAGAAAAATTCATGGAACATATTATTACTTACAATGAATTTGCTGAAAATCCAGGACTCATAGATAATCCTAATCTAGTAATAAGGATTTACAACAGGTAATTTCCCATTACTATGCAATGTTTACGTCTGATAGCTTTCTTTTTTCATTTCTACATTTTAAAGGTGGTATATTTTTCCGTTTTAGTTCTAATTTATATCTCCATATTTATTTTGTATATGTGATCTTTTGCTCATGCAACATGCCTTTTGAATTGCAGGTTAAAGCCAACTGTGCATCTTCTAAAGCAAGATCTTGCAGCATTCATCACTAACACTAAACAGTGTGCATTAGGAAAATTATCCAGCTTGTAGCAAACATTAGTTGCATATTTTATGTGCAACCTTCCACAAAAATCAAACTATTTTTAATATGCAAAGAGCATGTTGTATGCTAATCAGTTATTTCTACTGAATTCAGTCCTTGTTGTAGCTTCTCATCAATACTATCTCCTTAAACCAGGTACTATAACTGGGCATTGGCTGCTCCCATGATTCTCAGCTTACAGGTGTTCCAGAAAAGTTTGCCTAAGGTAAATTAACAGAAACTTGTACTTTAATGCAACTTGTATGTACAGTAATACCTAACTATAATTTTAAGTTGTGTGTGTAATATATATACAAATTAATTAAACTAAATATTTTCAGGCTACAGTAGAGTCTTGGGTTAAAGAGAAGATGCCCAAGAAATCTGGAAGATGGTGGTTCTGGCGCAAGAAAGAGAGCATGGCTAAACAAGTAATTGAAGTCCACTCTGTCTTTTAATGGTTATGTTAACCAAAATCAAGTGAATTTTTGCACTTTAAATGGACCATCCAAAATGGACATTACAAAATGTGCTGCTCAGATCTTTGGTGATCAGTGCTGTAATACTTCATGTTCAATTATTCATCAATGTAATCTAACTATTTAAACTGCTTTTGAGGTTTAGAGATTAAAATATCACAATATTACAAATTTGTTGCAGTTAGTTCATATTGAAGGATTTTAAGGATTGTTTAAATGCTCCATAGTTTGAAAGGTGGGGGTGGGCATGAATTGCAGCACATGCTAGCATGCTACACTCTAACTCCACTGTGTGGATGCAGCTGGCACAAATTAAAATGATTGGGTATCTTTCAATTCGTCAGCATTCACATGAGGGACTTTTGTGCTGCCATTGACACTCAAACAGTCCCCACTGTGAGGCCATGTAGACATAGCTTTTATTTCAGGTTGTTACGGTAAATCCTCAGTTCTCTTCAAAATTACTTTTCAAATAATTTATGCTGTATTTTGGGAACTTCTATGAAAATAAGAGGACAATAGAAAAATGGACAATGTTCTATCTGTCCTCCCCTTACATGATTACAGTACTCTAATTTTGACTATTTTAGGTTGATTTAAGCTTTCTTCCAATACTTTCAACATTAATTTCTTTACCTTCTTAACATTCATTCAGCATTTTTTAGTTTATTTTTAGTGAATTTAATGTTTGTAATAGTTGTTGGATGGAGAAGCCTTGATAGCTACAAAATGGCCAGTAACTGCCAATTTTCATTTGTACTCGCCTGCACACATGGCACGACACCAAGCTTGGACAGGTCTACTTCTAAAGATGGCTCTCTCCAAGCTCATTCTTGGTCTTTAATGTGCTACTGAAAAAGATGTAAATTTTACAATTTCTATTATAAGAACACAGGCCTGGCCTTAGGACAAGGTGAGCTAGGCTCTTACCTTGGGCCCTGTGTTGCCTCCCTTGGGAACTGTTGCCGGCACAGAGTGCCCGAGGGAGGCAACACCTGTGTCTACCTGCCCAACTGCTCACTTGCTGCCCTTCCTGGGAGCCGCCCAGCAGTACGGCACAGCCAACCACAGCATGCCACCTTGGGCTCTACAAACTCTTTGGCCAGACCTGCTAGGATCAAGACCACTAAACACTAGTCTTGTACTGATTTTATCCTTTTTCTTTTTGTTCTAAGTGTATTGTTAGCAAGATTTGGCTATAGATGGTGCACCAGAAAGAGCCTGATAAGAACATTTATTTATATGAATTAGTATCTGGTCTGAAGAGTCCTTCCTGTTTTCCTACAAAATGAAATAGTTTGAGGAAAAATGATCTGTGGAAGAATCTTTTATGAAGTAGTTCCCATAATGAGCAAGTTTGAGTATCTCATACAGATAGAGTAGCAAATTTACTGTTTATATGATAGCTATTTGCTTATGCCCAAAATTTAAACTAGTTCTTATCAGTGTTGATGCCTATAATATTGGTATATTCTTGATTCTTGTGGTGCCTTAGCTACCAGAGGCGAAGGATGGGAAGTCTGAGGCACAAAGAACAAATGATTTGCCAACAGCTACAAAAGAACAAGTTAATAGCAGGTATGTTTCTTGTTTGCAAACTTGTAAGTGTCATGATTTTGGAGAATTCAATGGGAATTTATTGTGGGAAGAAACTTTTCATCTGAACTTCTAAACAAAAACAGATGGCTTTGGCCAGCAGTTCCACAAGAAACTGTGTGTCAGTAAACAGTTTAGCATTGCAACGCTTGTGATCTCCTCCTAAAATCATGAGAATATAATTGGGTGTCTGTCTGGTTTCTTACTATAAAATCCTAATGTTCATTGGTTGATTTGCACTATCTGTCTTTTTTGGTGATATACTAACAATAAAACTAGTACTGAATGTAGTGAGTCACCCAAGAATATAGTTGAGAACTAGTAGTAACCAGCACAAAACTTCTTTCTATCTAGTGTGGGCTGTTAAAGTAAGTACCATTAATGTTTTGTTCCCCTTGACTCTCCAAGATTTTAGGAAATTATGAGGTAAGGTTTAGGAAAGTAGTGTGCCAAAGTAGGAGGAATACCTCAGAAAAACAGAAATGTAACTCCAATTTTTAAAAATTCTAAAACTTCACATTAATTGCCAGATAAATAAAAGCATACAAGTAATCTTTAGGAGTGAGCTGCTAAATTGTGTAATTTATTAGTTTTAATCTTTGGTTCTCAGAGAGCTGTTGCAATGAATTATTACAAAGCACTACAACTCGTCCAATATCCCTCTTCATCTGTGGTGTACCTCGTTCAACAGCACAGCAGTAGTGACAACCTGGTCTTATGTCCCTACTCATTCTGAGCCAGTTCAAATGTAAATCACATTATTTTGGGGCTTCATCAATACCAGAATGTTACAAGACTTCTCTACACTACTAGCACATGCTAGCCCTGATTTAACACATGCACACTGTAAACCTCACTAATCTGTAATGGAATTTCCCATGGTAAGTGGGACATTGCCAGATTAATAGGCAAATACACACACTATCCCTAAATTAAATCTGTACATCTCAAGGAATAATTTTCTCAATGCCAGTGACAAATCCTTGATAGAAGCAGATATCTTGATACCTATAATTGGTCTCTACACATGAAAAGACATGAGTTTTAGGCTAATAAGAAAATATTTTCTACAGTTTACTTTTATTTTGCTTGATATCACATTAGGCCGACAGAAGATGATTCTTCTAGTGATGAAGGGTCACAAGAGCTGAAAGAATCCCTAAAAATAGATTCCGTCCCAATGGAACATCAAAGTCATGGAAACATTACCTCTTATAAGAAGTCACTTAGATTGTCTTCAGACCAAATAGTAAGTGGTACATTTTGTATGTAGATGATATCATGATAGTAGACTATTTTTTCATATTGAGTTTTTCAATAAACTTGCTACAGTAATCATTGAACTTACGTTTCTAATAAAAAAAATATGAGACTCACTTATATGGAGTCCTAATTTAGCATTTTGGACAAGTAACAGCAGGATTGAAAGGATGTCTGCTTTCTTGTACTAGTTAAGAGCACTGCAGCCTTTGACTTTGTACTTTGCCTTGTGATCAAAAATCATCTAGAAAATATATTATTGGTAATTGTAGTCCATATTTTTTTCTGCAGGAAATGGTCAAACTGCTGCATCAGTACACTGTCAATGTGTTATATTATACACCCTCTTATAATGGCCGTGACATTGACTCATAACTGTACAGTCCAATTCTGAATGTGATTCTTAAACTTAACTAATTTTAGAAGCACTAATAGTCCAAAATATTTGACCGTTCTTTCTCATCAAGGGAAGAATTTAATTTTTGTCCCTTTTTGGAGTGACACATACATGTAGGAAATAACATAACACAAAGACTGCATCCACATTGGAAGAGTGGGGACCTATAACTTATCCGTGGTGTCACTTCAACACAATCGCAGGTGTAGAAGCTGCAATGCAGCCAGGCCTCTGGAGTCTTTATTAATATTCTGTCCTGACTTACTCTAAACAGACTTAGGTCACATAGTGGTAAAAACAGATAAATCCTGACATCACTACAGATTCCATTAGTAGAGTTCCATCAGTGTTGAATTCTGGTCCTATTTTTGCTAGTAAAGACAAGAAGAAAAAAAAACAGTTTCTTCCTAGATGAGGCAGAGGCACATATGAGTATTAACAAAAGATGTCTGAGGTATATAGATATTACAGATGACTTTGTATAGGTAATATATGAGAACTACTGTATTATCAGATATAAATAGAAACTCTGTGAATTGTATCTTTCCCAATCTTGTCTATTTGTGGCAATGAAAATTTACTCATAATAAACAATGGCAAAGCATTTTTAGGAAGGAGACGCACAATGTTTTACATTTATTTTGTTTACCGGAAGATAATTGTTGATGTAGAATAATGCTAACATGAAATTGAGGATAGGTTCCCCTTTACTAGCAGATAGACACAGTTGGGAAATTACCAGGATTCTTTCTTTTGATAGGTCAGGGGATGGGATATTGTATCTGGATAGTGCTCCACCTAATATTGGATTCTTGAGCAATGGCTTTAATTTGAGAAAGCAGCAAACACATAATTTACAAATCATATTTAATCTGATTACGCAAATAGATGTGTATGAGCATACATGGCATTTCCTATAATGCTTTTCTGATTTACAAATTCTTAACTTTGCAAAACACTTTAATAATTTTGGTTTACTTTTAAGGCAAAGCTGAGGCTCAAAGAAGGCCCAAATGATGTTGTGTTTAGTATTACAACTCAATATCAAGGTACTTGCCGCTGTGCAGGAACAATATATCTCTGGAACTGGAATGATAAAATCATCATCTCTGATATTGATGGAACAATAACAAAGTAAGTACCATTAAATTATATTTGCTTTTATTTAAAATTTTGAATGATGTTTCAGTAGTTAATTATGCCCTCCTTTGAAGAGCTTAGAAAGAAGGTTTCAAAGGGAGCTTAATTCCAGTATGTCCTCTAAATTTACATCAGAGAGAATTCTAATGAAAAATGGCTGATTACTTTATTCAGTGTTTTTTGACTGCAGTTTGTACTGTTGCTTACAGTAATCTGATTATTTTAAAAGAATATGAATGTAGCAGCATTGGTTTTAGTGAGTTCTTGTGTTGTTTTTCCTTCCGGTTTAATGGGTAGTTTGAAACTGGGTATAGTGATTTGATGTTGGATAGTGGGCTCACTAATAGCTCAGTCCAGATTAGATACCGAAGCTTTGCTGTAATCTTTAGATTCTTCTTCGAGTGGTGTTCCCTTGGATACTCCACTGTTGGTGACAGATTGCCTGGAGCTGCAAATTGCAGCACTGCAAATTGCAGCACTGGAAAGCAGTTTCCCCCCATCGGGCCATGAATGCGCAGGAGGCGACTCGTAGCACTGCCACCTGAGTGCCCAACATGCCCAGCCTGGTCCCTCCCCTTCAGTTTCTCTTCAACTGCCCTTGGCTGCGGACTGAGCTTCAACACGCTTCTTACTCTCTTTACCTTAGGCAGTTCTTTAGTGTTTGGACAGTTGTTTTGTAGACTTAGTGTTAGGAATTCATGTAAATAGTTTCCCTCGTTCACTTTTACCTTTTAAAATATATATTTTCTTTCCCTCAAGGGATTTGACAGAGGCACTAGCCGCTCAAGGGCGGCGCGAACTGGGCTTCTTCTGATTCTCCACTCCTCTTCAAAAAACCCCAAACCAAACAAACAACAATGAAATAACAAGTAATAACAAACCAAAAGAAAGGACAACATTAACATGTCTGCCTCCTCAGGCTTTAAATAATGTACTACCAGGAGGCCATACCAGTATCTGATGGCCATTCCCTATGCATATGTTGCTTGGGAGAAGTCCACATTCCGCAAAAGTGCAAGCACTATTCTAGGCTGACGGCAAGAGTGAGAAAAGATAGACCGCTCCACCTCAGAATAATACTATTCGACAAGGCCGTTCAGCCTGCTGAGGCACAAAGCGCCTCTTGTACTCAAGAGGGGTCTCCAAAGAAAAGGGGAGAGACCGGGAACCTTAGGGAGCCCTGCCATGAAATCAGCAGGCAGAGTTCATACTTCAGCATAATCACCAGTGCATGCCTCTTCAGTGCTGAGAGAAGCCCAGGGGTGCTCTAGGCTCTTGGTGCTGCAGAGGAGCCCTGCATTGCAAAAAGCTACAGCGCCACAGGCAAAAGCAGCAAGCTCGAACAAGCCAGCACTGCCTTCAATGCTGCCACCCTCAGCTCCAGCCGCACCAGCACTGGCATTTGACTCAGGCCTGAAGTTGACTCTGTTGATAACTGGGGGTATGTCTACACTACCCCCCAAGTTCGAACTAGCGGGGTAATGTAGGCATACCGCACTTGCAAATGAAGCCCGAGGTAGTTCGGACTAGGCTTCCTATTCCGAACTACCGGTACACCTCGTATTGAGCTGCGCTGCACGGGGTTTGAACCAGCGGGGTTTTAAAAATGGTGGCTCCCCGCTTATGCAAATGAAGCCCGGGAAATTCAAATCCCGGGCTTCATTTGCAAGTGCGGTATGCCTACATTACCCTCCTAGTTCGAACTAGGAGGGTAGTGTAGATATACCCTGGCAGAGCTCATTCAGTGCCTGATACTCAGGGCAAACATCATCAGTCATGTCCTGCTGCCACAGATGTATCACCTGCAGTATCTCCAACACGTAGCTCCCCTTGCAGGATTAGGTCTCCAGTACTCTGTGCAGTCCCTTACCTGATGATGACCAAATCAGTGCATTCTTATTGCAGCATCCATTACCCGTGGGCTTATCCCCCTCTACCTTACCCACCACAGTGGGTATCATTAGGATCCATATAGTCAGCGGTCCTCAACCCGCTCCACACCAGCAAGAAAACATTTGCCCACACCTAAAGATTCAGAGAAGGAGGAGGGACAGATAGATGACAGGGATCCAGATCCTCATGCATTGGGTATCTCTCCTACAGATGACTCTTCGTCACTGCCAAATGATATGGTCATACCATCTGACAAATGCTCAACTGACAATGTTAAACAGTTTCAAGAGTTATTCAAAAAAGTAGCAACAAGTCCCAATCATTGGCACAGCACACGAGTCAAGACGCGGATCTGTCTACAAGGGAAGCCTTTGTCGACCGCTCCATTATGCCTTGTAAAACGAGGTTTACAGAAGTGGTCGACAAAGGCTTCCCTTGTCGACTGATCCGCATCTTGACTCGCATGCTATGCCAACGATCAGCTGAGCCAGCACAGCGTGGCGGCCATTTTTATTTTAATGAAGCCGGGGATATTTAAATCCCGGCTTCATTGACTATATCAGGTAGCTTATTTTACATGCCTCTGTCGGCAGAGCCATGTAATCTAAACATACCCATAGAGACATCAGACAAACAATGGCAAATGCCTACATCTATCCAACCTACCAGTAAAAGGTCAGACAAAAATACTTGGTTTCCCCAAAAGACGTGGAATTTCTATTCACACACACTCACCAAAATTCTCTGGTTGTAGAGTCAGCTCAACACCGATCTAAACTACCGCAGTATAGAACAGCTAACCAGGACAAAGACCACACTAAGTTATATCTTTTTTAGCAGAAAGGTCTACTCTTTCTTCACACTGCAGCTTAGAATTGGAAATTACTCTTGCCCTCTTGATAAATCATGATTTTGATAATTATTCAGAACTGGGAGAACTCATTGAACACCTCCCTAAATCAGAGACCTATCCAGAAAGCGATAATCCATGAGGGCCACACCATCACACGTACTGCTCTATAAATAGCTTTAGTTGTGGCTAACACTGCAGGCAGAACAATGGCAATAGTGGTTATAGTGAGACAAGCATCCTAGGTACAAATCTTGGAGTTTCCTGCAAGGTTCAATCTAAGGTGGAGGACCTTCCATTGGACAAACAAAAATTATTTGCTTCCAAAACAGATGAGGTGCTCCATAATAGCAAAGATTCAAGGAACGCGCTTCATATACTGGGCAAGTATAATCCACCTTATCAGTGCGAGCAGTATACCCCATATAACCACAACAGATCTGGCTAATATAATTGGCCTCCACAGAGACCTTACAAAGATGCCTGACCTAGACAGTGTCCATAGAGAAGGCGCTCCAACTAGGGTCACCCATCTAATACTCAGGCCTCAAAGCAGCACATTTGAAGGTGTGGTCAAGGGTCTTCAGGATCTCCCTCACAATCCAATGCCAACACTACAGTGCCTTCTTTTTACTCACTGTTTGTACTCCCTTCCTAACACACTGGGAGTCCATAACATCAGACCACTGGGTGCTGAAGATAATCTATCCCCTTTAATTCTACCCCTCTATCACATCCCTCTTCAGAGACCCGTCTCACGAGAGCCTGCTACGACAGGAGGTCTACCGCCTCCTACTGCTCGAAGCTATTGAGAGGGTACCCAATGAATTCCATGAAAGAGGGTTCTACTGAAAATATTTCCGGACAGAGGGGGAAAAAACGGTGTTGGAGATGGGTCCTCAGTCTCCACAAACTGAACAAATTTCTTAGGAAGCACCACTTCAAGATGCCAACCACAATCATTTCAGTATTGGAGCAAGGGAACTGGTTTGCAGCCCTCAACCTACAGGACACCTACTTTCACATTGCCATTCACCCAGTACACAGGTGTTACCTTTGCTTCACACTGGGAGCAGACCATTATCAATAAAAGGTTCTGCCTTTTGGCCTTTCCTCAGCTCCCCAAGTATTCTCTAAAGTCCTAGCCATAGCCACTGCATACTCATGACAACACATAGTCATCTTTCCATATCTAGATGACTGTTTGATAAAAGTGAGGTCAGGGATGAGACCACCTCCATGGTAAACAAGACCAAAGCTGCCCTCAGTCATATTGGTCTCCTAATCAATGAACAAAAATCAACGTTAGAGCCAGTCTAAGACACAGAGTTAATTGGTGCCCACATCGATTTAGTCTAGGCCTGCACTTACTTACCTCAACAATGATTTGCAGCCATTCAGGCTCTCATCACAGTCATATCCATGAGCTCTTCTACCATAATACCTGCCTCCAGTTGATGGGCCATATGCTTGCAACTACTTACGTGGTCTGTCATGCTCGTTTGCGTTTCTGATGCTTTTAACTATGGATAGCATCTGTCTACACTCCATCCCACCATTCTTTACACAGGAGAGTTACCGTATCCCCAGACGTCCTCATCTCCCTTCGCTGGTGCATGTTGGCAGACAATTTTCTGGCAGGTGTCCCTTTCCACCAACTCAGTCCATAGTGCAAATTACAACAGACACATCCCTTCTGGATTGGGGAGGTCACCTCGAGGTCACAAACTTAATCGTCTCTCGATGGGGTTGGCCTTCGATAGACCTCTTTGCTTCTCCCCAGAATACCAAATGCTCCCCGATTCTGCTCCAGAGCGAGACTCAACAAAGGCTCCCTTGGGGATGCATTCCTGATCTAATGGAGGGCCCCTCTGCACTACATCTTCCCTCCCCCCGTACCACTTATTCCCAAAGTGCTGCACAAGATCTGCACAGAGGGGGCTCACGTCATTCAACATGGTTCCCATTCTTGCACAGGCCTCCATATCCATTACCATGCCAATATGACCTTCTCTCCCAGAATTGTGGGATGATGCTACAACCTCAGCCACACACTCTTCATCTCCATGCATGGTACCTAACTGGTGCAGGGAACTAGAGTCCTGATGATCCCAACAAGTGAAGGATGTTCTCCTCCACAGTAGGAGACCTTCCACAAGAAAGACTAACCTGCAGAAATGGGCACGTTTCTCTCACAGGTACCAGAGAGCAATGATAGACCCTCATATGTCTCCACTGAATGTCGTCCTCGACTACATACTAGAAATTAAGAGATCAGGACTCTCACTTTCTTCCCTACTAGTTCACCTTTCCACTATAACAGCTTTCCACACTCTGGTGGATGGGCTTTCTCTAATTGCTCACCTGGTTACAAAAAGGTTCTTGAAGGGTCTTGACAACATATACCTGCCCCACAGAGCTCCACCTCCAGCAAGGGACTTGATCTAAAACAAGGTTCGTTTGACCAGGACTCCATTTGAACCCTTGGCCACAGATGCGCTTCCCTTCCTTTTTATGACGGTCTGTTTTTTAATGGCCATTACCTCAGTGAGGAGAGTCAGGGAGCTTGGGGCCCTTATTGCAGAGCCCCCCGTACTATCTTTGCAAAAGACAGTCACACTCAGACCTCACCCAGTATTCCTGCCGAAAGTACGTACAGCATTCCACGTCAATGAACCCATTATATTACCTACCTTCTTTAGTAAGCCCCATGCCTCACCAAGGGACATGATGTTGCACGCCCTTGATATTAGATGAGCATTGGCCGCCGCCTTGGATGGAACCAGATCCTTTCATAAATCTCCGACTTTTTATTTCTATTGCTCAACACTTGAGAGGCACACTTCGCTCATCGAAGCAGATCTTGAAGTGCATAGTGAGATGTCATGCCCTGGCTAATAGACCCTTACACATCATCTACCACAAGCACATTCCAGTTGAGCTATGGCTGCCCCTACAGCCTTTCTGAACAATGTCCCCCCTAAGAGACATTTATCAGGCTGCAATGTGGCTATCAGACCATACTTGGCCAGACATTGTGATAATACCACAACTTGCATCTGCTTTAGTGGTAGCCATTGCAGTCTTGTCTACCACTGCTAAGCAATGACTCCGACTCCCTCCATCTGAGTCTTAATACTGCTTTACAGTCACCAACTGTGAAGCACCTACAGGGACATCATTTGAAGAAGAAAAGGGATTATTCATTTGGTGCAGTAACGACTGTTCTTCGATGTGTCCCCACCCATGAGTTCACCATGATGCTCCCTTCCTCCCCTCTACTTGGAGTCTTAGTTACTCGGGTATAGAAGAGGAACGGAAGGGGAGGGGCCAGGACGCACATGTTGGGTGCTTGGGTGGCAGCTCTGCAAAACGCCTCCTGCACATGCACAGCCAAATGGGGGGAAACTGCTTTGCAATGCTCATTTTGCCGTTCTGGTGACCTGTCACCAACAGTGGAGCACCCACGGGGATACACATCTCAAAGAAAAGTTGTTACTGCACGAAGTAAGTAACTCCCTTATCTGTTGCACAGTGATTCTTTGAATCTTCTACAAATATTTGTTGCAAAACAAATTCGGTGGCATGTATTATTTTAATGTAAAATCTTTCCTTGTATACTTAGTTCCAGTGGTTCTTATTTTCAGGTCTGATGCCTTAGGGCAAATTCTCCCACAGCTTGGCAAGGACTGGACCCATCAAGGCATTGCAAAACTCTATCATTCCATCAATGAGTATGTATCTTACTTTGAAGCAACCAGGTATTTGGGATTACTAACAGAATTAACATTTAATCAGATTAACTGTTTCTAATTTTAGACCTTTTCCATGATCTAAATGACAAAAAAATTAACTGCCAAAACTAAATTATTTTACATTAACAGAAATTTCTCATACATGTATTATTGCTTTGTACATCAGCTATCACTTGGCAATTTGGTTTTTATTATATTTCCAAAGAACAAATTCAAACTTTAACATTTCTCTTACAAGTTATAATTGTTAAAACTAAAGACATTCTTAACTGTTGTGCGGTTTGGGAAGTAGAATTGTAAGTGTTCCTTAGATTGCAGTGAAAGTGTATGATATACTTTTTAAAGAATCATGGAAGTACATAATTATTTTGTGTAAGTTATTTGAAATGTAAATTTATTTGGGCTTAAGTTGTATGCTTTCAGCTATTTATATCTTGCATTGTTTTATACCTATAAGTTACTGAACTTCAGAAGTATAGTAATTATGCTTTTTAAACTAAACTTTTTAAAAAGCATTAGAGTCTAGTAATCTTTTAAATTGTTTACATTTGTTGCTCTCCAGTGTTAGGATCAAATCAGGACAAACACATTTGTAATCTTTAGTGTGACAAACACTTTTTTTTCCTCCAAAAACATTGATGGCACCAGTATTCACCAGCCACTCTGTGAATAGTATTTAGCTGCATTTAGTTTTGTACCTGAGTGATACAAGATAAACAGTTGTTTGGGGATATTTTCAAAAATTATTTTAAGGAGAATTTTTTTTAAATGGATGTTTAGAATCATTGCCTTGACAGATTAGATTCGAAGCTTTGGTACCTTCGTGTTGACCTTGGATATAATGCAGAGGGCCAAATGTTGCCTCTGGCCATTACTGTCAATTGGAATTGGGCAGAACTCCAAGCAGCTGTCTTAGCTTTGTGGGTCAGATTTCATCAGGCGTTTAAAAATGCATTTGCATCCACTTGCACACACAACACCAACACACTAATACCTTTCTTGTATAGGTATACTTACATATATAGCCTGTATACATGTTTAAATGCAGATATTTTTATATGAATAGACATCTGCAAGTATATTTTTAGAGCCTTAAAACTCTTTTCAGTAAGTTGGCAACTCTGACATGACATACTATAACTAAGGGCTGGTCTTCACTATCATGGTAAATTGATCTATTTTATGTAACTTCAGTTATGTGATGAATAGTATGACTATGTTGTTAGAGCTACTTATCTTGGGGCTACACTGAACTATGTTGACGGAAAAGTGTTTCTCATCAAATTCCCTTGTGTTTCTTGGGAAGGAGGTGTACACAAATCAATTTAGTATGTCTTCACCAAACCCAGAAAATGGACACTTACTGCAGCAGTGTAGATCTACCGGCAAGTGAAAACATACCCTAAATATTTCTGTCTGGAAGCAACAGCCGGACCTTTTAATATGCAGAGTCCTTATCTGCAAATGCATGTTTAAATAATTGCTATAACTAATGGGGAGGGGGTGTTGATTGGGAGTTAGATATAGCAGGTTTGTTTACAATTTTTCCCCCCCAATTATCAGGAACTACCAGGTTGTGCATAAATCTAGCCTATAACAGTGTGATCTTAATACTTAGTATCTGTTCTCCTTTCCCCTCACTATTAGGCTTGCTTTTTCAAGTCTTTAAATTATTACAGGCTCTTCAAAGGAGGGGCAACCTTATCTTTCTATGCATGCTGAGTGTACAATGAGATTACTACCCTATTTAGTCTTCTAGGCACTACCATAATACAATGTTGATTTTGGGAAAATGTCTTTACATGAAATATAAGCTAAGCAGAATAATCTTCCTTAGGAATGGTTACAAGTTTCTGTATTGCTCTGCTCGTGCAATTGGAATGGCAGATATGACAAGGGGGTACTTACATTGGGTGAATGACAAAGGAACAATCTTACCCAGAGGGCCCCTATTGTTGTCCCCCAGCAGCTTATTTTCGGCCTTTCATAGGTAAGTACATGGGTGTTTTATTGCTAATTTTATGTGCGCTAAAAAGGCAAGTAGTGGGAGAAGGTAAATGGAAAAGGCTTTAGAAACTGCATGAAATGGCTGCTTTGTGAACTATCACTATGTCATTGTTCTTATTTTCACCTCTGCAAACTGAAGAGGCCATAGTTTTATTACGACCCCTTGAAACATTTGCTGATTCTGAAATATTTCATTTACACTGTAACATTTATAATCACATGCGTCTATTAAAAGCTGTTGCAGCAGATAAAATGTCAGCCTGGTAAACGAGATGTTTATTCACTGCTCTCCCTCCCATCCTGTGACTGACACTTTAACATAAGGTCTGTATATATCAGTAAAATTCTGTCCAGAGAAGTATGGCTGCAAAAACTACAGAGTTGAACGTCTACAAATTTAATCTGGATTCCCTAGCTTTTTGCTACCACACTGAGTGTTCTTACAGCCTTAGGAATTATACGTTGCAAGAAGACTGTAATGATTAACATTACTTTTTTTATAAAGAATCCAGAAAGGGTCAGCCTTCTAGATTTGTTACCTAAATATCTGAGAGAATCACTGCTGGAATCTTCAATAGATTAATCACTGATGATAGCCAATTAATGTAAAAGTAATATAGTTTTAGGGGAAGTAAAATAAAAATAAACTGACACACATTGTAGCCAGCAGTTAGAAATTTGGTATGGCCTGAAAATTTACCTGCCCAGGCAGAGACATTATAGACCTGTATTTTACTGCAATTTGTGTTAAAGAAGAAAAAAGTTGTGTTAACGATCTTGTAGGGGGGGGGAAACCCACTTTCCCAGCTGATACAATATCTGTACAGTGGAAATTTCAACCACACAACATACTGTGAGAATTCAAACACTAGTTAATAGGGGGAATTAGCTCTCTGAAATGGTGATTTAGGATTCACTGATTGTGTTCAAATTTTATTCTAGAGAAGTGATAGAAAAGAAGCCTGAAAAGTTCAAAATCGAGTGTTTGAATGATATCAAGAACTTGTTTGTGCCAAGTAAACAGCCTTTCTATGCTGCTTTTGGAAACAGGCTCAATGTAAGTCTGCACCTTTCTAAATGTAGGGTCAAAACACCCATTTTATTTGTGAAACAAGGGAAATAAGCAGTTTGTGGTCCTTTTACAAATGTAAGAAGGAAATTGAACAGCTTTTAATTTATTAAACACCTGGTGACATTTCCCTTTTACAGCCCTCTCCTAAAACACACTTCAGGCATATGCCATTCTACTGGTTTTGGTTGGAACTACACGTATTAGTGAAGTTGCTCATGTGTAAATGCTCTGATCCTTTGGTGTTTCTAAAGTGGTGTTTGCCACTGTATCAGAGAACCAAACGTTATTAATTCCATAGCAACTCTAAGAAGAAACATTCTTCTTCCACACAATTTTCATTTTCCTCTCCTCTCCTCTTGTCTTCAGTGATGTAGGTGCTGAGTCCTGAATTAGCCAGGAAGGGATGGGCCCCAATAGTATTTATTGCTTTTCCATTCCAGAAATGGAATAGGCCATAAACAAAATTATTCTTGGGTGAAGGGGGGGTACTAGGACCTGGGAACAAATCTTACTTCCCAGACTCTGACCAGAAATTCATCTTATTTTCTGCTGTATATTCTAACCCTTTCTGTGCTATCTGAGGTTTATAACTTTTAAATGTGTGATGCTTTTCATGTCTTTTTTTTATTTTTGAAGAGACACATTTTAGTTACTTCAATATGCTTTTAAATCTATCTTCATGTTGTTTCTGTGAAGTTTTTTTCTGTTGTGCAGTGCTCACATAAGGGAATCTAAAAGTAGAGTAATAACTTCCTTCTGCCCCACTGTTCATGCTTTCTGTAGGATGTGTATGCCTACACGCAAGTGGGAGTCCCTGACTGCAGAATATTTACAGTGAATCCCAAAGGTGAACTGATCCAGGAACAGACAAAGGGAAACAAATCCTCGTAAGACCACTTTTATTATTTCAAATAATCAGAAGTGGGGGGTGGGTTGAGTTGAGCTTCAAGTAACCATGATGCTATAATACGAAATCATAAGGAATTGTGTGAAATCCTGCCTACTTCAGTCTCAGATATTTACTGAAATTTATTTAGAAATAAAATTTAAACTAACAAAATAAAGTGGAAAGTAACTTTTGGAGAAACACTTTTGGCACAACAGTGACTAGATTGTGAAATAACCATCTTTTTTTTTTAATATAGGTATTTCAGGCTAAGTGAGCTTGTGGAACATGTGTTCCCATTGCTTAATAAGGAACAGAGTTCTGCTTTTCTGTTCCCGGAATTCAGTTCATTCTGCTTTTGGCGAAAACCATTTCCTGAAGTGAACATGGAAGACCTAGTCTGAACAGCTCTACTTACCTGGAGATGGGATTTCGTATCCAGACATTCAATTTCAGTATGAAGAGAGAGAGCTCTGGAGATGCTAATTTTATACATTGATACCACGAGTCTTACTAGAGACAATACTTTTAAGTCTATGGGTTTGGCACAAACAAAATGCAAAGTTTCTGTATCTTTGTCCTTTGACTTTAAGGTATTTGAGATCAGCTTATGTTATAGCAGCAGGGCTAAAGCACTAGATGACAACACAAGTGTGGACTTCTTGCTGCGTCTTTGCCTTTCCATAGATATCAAACTCACCTTAAATATTGACTTTTTATATATTAATGTCCTTAATATTTTTTTATAAAATAAGCCAAAAAGTGCATGGAAGCTGCCAAATAGTCAGCCATGTTATAGACGAATGTTCAAATTGGTAATTGGGCCATTTTAAAAAGAGCAACTTTCTGAAACAACTATGGCTCCATATTTCGTAAACAAAATATAGAAAATGCTTTGTCTTTAGTGTTTGACAGGTTGTTAATGGTCAAAGTTGCATCTTAAATGTAAATAGTTTTGTCACATGTACAATTAGAATGTGCTTGTACAGCACAGTGCTGCTCATGTTAACTCTGCTTTGTAAATTTTCCTAAACATTCAGTGATTTGACCATTTTACAGGCTTATTGCTTAACCTCCTTTTAAATCAATTCTGTCTTGAGAAGTTTCAGTATACCTTTTGATTCTTGAATGACTTTTGTTATTCCCAACTGCCACCTTCCATGTCAATTTTCAATCCAGAGGAAGTTTAGTAAAAGCTTACTCTAAGAGGTGGGAAGTAGGTGTTTTTCATGGCATTGAAATGCATATATCTATGCACAGTGTGTAGGCCAGTAGATTATATTCAGAGAGTTGTCACTGAAGAAAATTTATGTATTTAATTTTTTAATTGAATCTACTGCAGGACTTTCCAGAATTGTGTTTAAGGGTTTTCAGTTGTTGAAGGAAGTACAGTAGAGCAATGAGTGCTACCTGTAAGGCTTGTGTTCTGAATGCTGTCTTGCAAAGCCAACAGAATTGTCAGGTAAATGACCAAGTATTGCTGTGTGACCGTGCCTTGGCTTCAGGCCAGCTCCTGTAACTATGCTAACTGCCTCACAGGCCTAATACTGCCAATTCCAAAAGCAGCTTGCCTGCGATCTTCACTGGGTATCCAAAAAATTCTTGAAAGGCAAAGTCTTCCTAGAAAGGGTATTGTATAAAGCTGGAGAGAGAAATTCTGTTCTATGCTAGGGCTGTGAATGGTTTACCTGTTCCAGTTAACTGGTAAGGAGGAACAGCTCCCCACTTACCACAATTAACCAATTAAACAGGATTTTATATGCCTATTCTGTGCCTCTTAGAACTGCAGAGTATAAGAGAGGATATTCATCATAGGCTGTCAGTGAAAACAGGTTTTGTAAATTTTTATAAAGAATTTGTCAGTCTGAGAATTCTCAATGTGAGGCTCTAGGTACTAGCTCCAGTAAACTGGAAAATAAGATTCACTGAATATTTTTGGATCAGCATCTCATTTGAAGTAAATTATTTTTTAATGAACAGCTCACAGCAGCTGGAATTATAAGCAAGGAGCTGAAGTTGCAAAGGGGACCTGGCTCTTTTGTGAAGGCTGAGATGAAGAAAAGGGGTGAGTTAAATCAGTGGTAACTTACCTGTTCATGCTGTGCCATGTAAATAAATTAATTAAATGGCACCTTCATTAGAGTATGTCTTTTTCGGTATGCTAATGATGATTTCCACTTAGCAGTTCCCCAGATCAAACATTTACTTAGTGGTTAAGTAGATTAGACTGCATTTTTTTTTAATGATCCAAACAAATGTCTGAAGATGTAGTATGTAAGTTAGTATTTGCAGCAGCTATAATTGTATAAGGATTACTCAATCAGGAATCTCAGTCTTTGTCTTTAATGGAAGCAGTACTGTGCTGCAAATGCTGTTAGAGAAAAGTAATGCTATTGCTCGTTTATTATTTCACAGGGTTCAGGACTGAATGTGGCCTCTTTTTATAGATCATTGCACAGAGCAAAGGCTTAGGAACCCTAGTCCTTATAAAACCTCTGTATCTGTTTTTTCTTGCTTGCTTTCTTTTAATAGGGAAAAGCATTTTTCACAAAGGATAATATTTTCATACATTGCTTTGAAAATCAATGAGATACGGTCTAAGTGGAAAAAAATCCCCTCAATGATGCAGTCTTTTTAAAAAAAAAAAAAATATTTCCATAAAAGGACTAGAGCTGTATCTCCTAGATTAACTCTTCTGTGGTAGCCAGAATTTCCTTCAGTGGGTTAAGCCAAGGGCACCAGAGACTGAGCTAAATACAGTTTTGTTTGCTTTTTAAAAAAGCACTTAATGAAAAACTTAAAACATCCTGATGAAATTCCAGATTGGGCAGAATGCAAAAATATTTCTACACTTTGGCTGTAAATGACTTGGCTATTTTTATCTTAACCTAGGTTTTCATTCTGTCTGCAGTTGAACAACATGCAGTGATGAATTCTGTGCACTTTAAGGTCGGTCAGGGCAAAATCAACATAGAACTTGATTTAAATAAACCGTATAGGGTCAAATGTCTCCTTTTAAGCACCAGTAATTTAAATTAGTGAGAGCACTTGAGTTTATGTTGCAGTTTTGGGGTGAAATTTTGGCATTTAGGGATTTCCAAAAAGCTGCTGAAAAAATGTTGTCCTTCCATTTTGTGATGGTTATAATTCTGCTATACAGTTTTTGATACAATGCAAAAGTTTTCTTGAGTCTTCCTGATAAGCAAATGAGTTTTTTATTTGAAACCAACTTAGTCTGAGTAGAGCTCCAAATGTATGTTAATGTCACTTGAGAAGTCCATTTCAGAGACTGAACTTCGGTGTTCTATGCATACCATTGCATACATACTTACAGAAGTAAAATATCCAGTATTCCGAACACCTTCAAAAAAGACATCTCATTAGAACTGTCAAATGGTAGGTTTCTGCTACAGTATTACAATATGACGTGGATATATTAGAATTGTACATTAGTCTGCTGCCTTTAGCTTAGTGAAGGTAGATGGTTTGAAAATAATGTGCTAAACCTATTTCAAATCAGCAGAACTTAAATCATTCTTTCTGTGAAAGAGAGGAGCTGTAAATTGTGTGCATGCACATGCACATGCATGTATTTTTGAAGATGCAGATCCCCTTTGCATTGGAACAGTGTTTGATACCATAAACTTCCACAGTATTTCTCTGGGGATAAGAAAGTAACACTGCAGTTCAGATCTGGTCAGTCTATTGGACACTGTCCATTTCTATAGTAATTATCATTTAAGCACTTGTATATATAAACATTTCTGGACTTTTTTTTTTTTTTTTTTTTTTACTTTCATGTGTTTAAGCTTGTACTTCAAAAATATGGCGCTTTTAATCTTTTTTTAATGTAGAAGTGCAGGTGTGATGTGGGATCATGTATTCTTAGCCTCTTGACATCATTATGCTGTTTTTTAGAACATAAGTCTTCAACTGGCAAAGTCTTAACACTTAAATCAACTAAATTACATAAGTTTGAATCATTCTGGCCAATTGTAAACCAAAAGGATTATATATTTGACATTGTATTCAAGTCTGCTAGAAATAGATTCCTCTACATTAGTTTAAAAATAAGCAACTGAATTACAACTTCATTACAAATCATTAGAAGACTGGGTTGAATTTTATATGCCTTTGAATGTAATTTTTGCCTAAGAAAGCTGTTTCCTATGTTAAATCCTGCTGAGTAGGATGAAATTCTGCTTCATTTTTTTTTAAAGTGTTAATTATTTCCAGATGAAAGCTGCGCATTTTTGTTTAAGGTACGGGTCAGGAAAACTAATATTTTTCCTATTTCATTATTAAATTGAGAATATGTGAAATAGTTGATAAACAACACAATCACTAATAAGTAAGTGTTACATTGTCAACTCTGTGAATATGCCAGTACAGCAGTCTTTGGGTAAATAACCCACACTTTGGTGCAGTGTTTATTGATGTTCAAAACAATGTTACCACAATAAACAAACTTAAAGAGTTTTCTGCCATTTGTTCTTTGGAAAACTATAAGTACTAAGGATTTATGTAAATCATCCTTTTGCATTTTAGATTGAATCAGGCTTATCTACTGAAAACATGTATGTAAAAAAAAAGCAGGAAGAAAAACAAAATATTCTTTTGGAATATCTCCCAAGGGCTGATGTCAGTGTTCAGTTCTGTTCCATGTATTGATAAGTAATCTTGAGTACTAATACTGATCACATGTTACATACAGTCTACTAGGGAAGTTTACTTATGCTAGTTGCTTGATATTTCCTCTGAGTTACTTTTTTACTGAATCCAATGGATTGTCATGAATAGAGTAATTTTCTAATGTGGGAAAGTAGTGTGTTGTATACAGAAATACTCTGAAAAGTCAAAAGGCACAAACTTATTTGTCTATGTGTAAATGAATGTGTTTCTCTCCCCCTCTGGCCCCCCCCCCCCCCCCCCACACAACCACCC